GGTCCAGTCGCGGATGTGGATATTCGTGGTTGGCCCAGGCCCTTCGCGAATGGACCGGGCGATTCGCGAATTGGATATATTCGTGACTGGCCCGGAACATATACAAAACAAGGAAAAGAGCAGCAGAGCGCGTCCGAAATGGCATATAAGTTAGGGTATGTTCTGCTCGTGGTAGTATTCCTCAGATGAGCGCCAGCACCGGAAACACGCCATGCAGCTTTCGCTAGCCCTCTTAAACGGACTCTTCATCGTCCCGGCCGTCTTGGCCGCTCCTCACACCCGCACCAAGCGCGGTGAGAAGCCTGCCGGCAAGGTCGATCCTGGAACCGCGTCGGACTGCACGTACTGGGAGGAGAAGACGGATGCCTCTGTGAGAGAAGACGGATGCTTCTGTGTCAGCTATCACGACTTCAAGATGGGGCAAGTCGTTGCTTTTTACAATGCCGCGACGCGGCATTGTATCATCAAAGACTCCTGGTCTTAAGTTTGTATCAGACATGGGTTACCTGTTACAGCTTCGCCGCTTCGGCGAAGCTGCTCACAAGATAAATAGCTGCGTTCATTCTTTTCAAGATAAATAGCTGCGTCGAAGCTGCTCACAAGATAAATAGCTGCGTTCATTCTTTTCTTTCATTTGTTCAGATAATTCTCATTCAATTCACCGAAGGCACCTTTGCCACAACGCTTCCCATCTCTAGTCCAACTGCTACCACTTCATTCTCCGTTCACGTGATGTGTGCCCGTAACTGTTTGACACTCAGCCTGTTACAGCATCGCCGTCCATATCTATGTTCTGGGCGATTTTCCTGAAGAAGACAGCCGACTTGGGTCAGCGGACTCCATCACCATTATGATCAGAAGCTGGACCAAGATTTTCGTTGATAAAGTCGATATAGGTGCCGACTCTGGTAAACAGCCCGGGAGCCCGGTTGCAATACTGCTGATCTGCCATGATGCTCCATGACACGACACCGAGTAACTGTCCCGTTTTCTGATCAAAAAGAGGCCCACCGCTATCCGCGTTGCAAACATTCTTGCCTTCTCCACCGGCACATATTATGGTATCTCTATCACCTACACCGGCGTACTGGGCACAATCCTCGCGTGCGTGAATAGGAAGAACAACCTTGCTAAGTTTCTTAGCCGGTATGTATTCGTCCTCGGAGTATATATCCTTGGGGCTTTGTGCGCCCCTGTCCTGCAAGTCAGCATCTTTCCGACTACACATGTACATGCTGCAGTGCTGAACCATGGGTCCATGGCACTCACCAGCCTGCAGCGATTGCTGTGGAATTGACCACGGCGTCCGAGCCGGTCGGAGGCAACGTGGCATATTCAATCGTATTGCTATTCTCAATCGGAGTCGATAATTTCAAGATGGCAATATCATTTTCTTCGTAAGAAATTACATTTTCTAGCCAGTATTCATCGTCATCAAAGCTCGGTTCGTAATTAGGGTGCTTCTTGAAAGATGCAACTTGTGCTTCTACTCCCCCCGTCTTAGAGTCCTGCACAATTATTAGCTTTATGCCACCTAATATACTATCAGCTGCACCAAAGTACTGGGATGAAAGGTGAGTAGTATATTTACCACTGTTCCAGCCGTTACATAGACGAGTTTGGGTCCGTAATGTATGCAATGAGCAGCAGTAAGAACTGTATAGCCGTCTAACAGACTGCCTCCGCATTGATGAGTCTTATTCTCATCACGAACACTGACGATGAATTTTATTTCACCATCTTTGGCATCTTCTCCTTGGATAATTCTCTTATCAATAGTTGCTGCCGATGCCAAAATGGCAGAAAACGCCATGGCTAGTGTAAAAGCAGCCTTTGGTGCCATGTTGTAAAGACGGAGTGGTTGGATTGTTAATAAACGAGACTACAACAGATGAATGAATGCACAGAATGGCCGAGGCTGGATTTTACTATTGATAGGTTATAGGCCCCTTGCAGTATTTATCCTCTTGGATGATAGGAGAAGCTAGGAGAAGCTCCGCGTACACATAATAGCCCAGAGCCCAGGGTTGATGACTCGCGTGCATGATGCATAAAAATATAGGTATTACGTCCCTATGTCGTCGACAACCCAGCAGCCAAGCCTTTTGTGAAGCGGCAACTATTACTATGAAGGCATTATCCCATATGAGGAATTGAGGCCAAAGCGAGAAATACATATGTATGCAGTTGGGCCCACCAGGATTGTCAAGTACCAAGCCGCATACATAAGTTTCCGATCGGTTCGAGTCATGCATCCGAACAAGGAACACCATTGTCACACCAATGACTCTGGTCGGTCCCTCTTTTTCCTGGTAGCCAAGCCCATACACGAGTCCATGGTTATGATGGCCTTGCCGTAGCAATAGGGCTCTCGCTCTTTAATTAATACGATGTAGTGATTTGCGGCTACGACATTTGGCGTTTCACCATGTAGGATGGAGCGAAGTCTAATTAAAGTTGGAGTACCCGTCTCAGAAATGGAGTCCGGTTGGAGTACCCGTCTCAGAAACGGAATCCGACATCCTCGACGGGGCCGGCGATTGGCCAATGGGAGCTTGGAGATAACGGCTAATAATGCCTTTCGGGTAGTTTTGACAAAA